GACATTCCAATCACCTGCTATCAAGAAGTGCGAGCCAGCGTGTTTAATTAAATTAAACAATTAAAAGTTAAAAAACAAATATTTATTAAATTTGAACAATTAAAAAAAACTACTGAAAGTTAAAGGCAATGGAAATGAGGCAGCTATGTGCTAATATTATTTGGAAAGAAAAAATGGGACATAATAAGAATTGTGCCAACTATAGGAATGAACAATCAGAAAGAATACAAGAAAAATGCATGAAACAAGAAAGAGAAAAACGTAGAAGAAGGTGGAAATGGATTCAACAAATTTCAGAGGCAAGAAAAATTAAGCAGAAAACTCAAAGAAATGGCATAAAATAATTAACAATAGAATACCTAGATGGATAATAGTAATGAAAACTTTAGTTAATCCGAATCAATTATCTAAAAGGCTGAAAGGAAAAATAGAAATAAAGAAAGCTGTTCCATTCTGAAAGCATCACATTTAAACCGCACAGTCTTGTCTGTAACTGTTTCGGCGTAGTATACAGATATCTTTGCACCGATATGTGATAATGAAGATAACATGGATTCACTTCTCTCCGAAATTTCAGGTGAAAGCAACCCAAAGGGGGCAAAGGACGAACCATCACCTAGCGACTAATATCTGTTCACAGAATGCTCTACTGTACAATATTTATATGAACTGAGGTTACTCCGAAAATAAGGGATATTTTAAGGCCAAAGACAGAATATGATATATTCTATAATTGTTTTCTTTTATAGTTATACATTTATCTAATAATTTGCTAATAATGCATTACATTGCATCTCTAGCTTGGTTATTTCTGTCTTTTCTTCGTACGGCTTAACTATAATCAAAATCAAAATTAATAGGCTATAACACAGGTATTAAAATAACACCTTTAATGTCTTAAACTGTCCGTGCGAAAGACATTAAACCGCTAAATAAGAACTAATTACGAGCAGTTACGTCGTTCATCTTAACTGAAGTAATTCTCGTCTTACCATTCTTGAACACTCTCAATTGCGATATGTGTGTGGCAAGCTAGTCAAGACACGATAAAAAATTATAGGTCTCTTTGCCACTTATTCATAAAAATACTGTCTGGGTCAGGCAGACGTTGGAGCAGTGACGGACTCGGACTCAAATGCGTTTTAGAATCAGAACTCGGTATCGATTTGGATCAAAAGAAGCTTTTTAGTAGTTTTTTTACTGTATTCCTCAGATTAGACGTATTTGTTCTTTTAAAGTGAAGACTCATCACTTGGTATAATGTTTTGTACGGTGCCGAAATAATATTTAGCGTGACACGAAATATCGAGACGTGTGGAGGAACTTTGCGGTATGCAGTAATATACGTAATATACATACATATACACTTATTATAAAAATAAAATGACTTTAACAAACGTCATTTTATTGTTTTATAAGTTTTTTATAACAAGTCAAGAAACGACTGGATCTATTTTTCTAATTTTTATTTTGTAATATTTTTAATTTACGAAAATGTGATGAAATTGTAAGGAAAATAGTAAAAACGACATATATACTTCCTCTTTGAATTCACTGGTTTTAATCGGTGTTTTAACATTTCTTTCTGGTGTATCTTACGGAACATGTATCTCCCAAATATTACATTTCTTCTTGAAAAGGTTCAAAATTAAATAAAACCTATTAATTATGTCTTTTGTGTAGTTTGAGTTTATCTGTTTCAACTCTTTTGGTTGGTATTTCATTAGAAGCCCCCCTCCCCAAGTTGGAAGTTCCCTTCTAAGGCAAATGTCTAGATCCGCCACTGTAATCATCAAAAGCTTTAATTATTTCCTGTCTTCCCCAGGAAATTCAGTAGGATTGTATCCTTCACTTCAATTGCTTTGGAATTTACTTTTGTTTTTGTTCGATTGTATTTTGACTTTTCACCTTTTCAAATATACAGTCAGTACCGTCTTTTATATCTACATAAACATAACACTTCGGTGGCGCAGTAGTAAGGACGTAAAACTCGACTCGGGTGTCGTAAGTTGAGTGTCGGGTCTCGACAAGGATGGGATGTTTATTAAAAAAATTGTTGTCTTTGTTGGATTGGTACCGCTGCAAATATGTTGATTCCATTGTTTTTTTAATGGACCATTCGAAAAAAAAACATAAAAATTTATAAAAAAGCATAAAATTCGTGTTGAATTGGGACGGGACAACATTCGTTTTGAAAGTACGATTTTTATTTAATTAAATTATTAGATCAAGAATAAATAAGTAATGATGTGGTCTACTGGTAATTTTTATAATTTGCCAGAATGATTTCCAAGAGCGGAACTTGAAGAAGAAGACTGGTAATTTTTAATGCATTCTCCTACATACTCAACATAATACTTACAACTACATTTAAATTTTTTAAGAATTTTTTCATAAACCGTTTTTTCTAATTCTTAAATATTAAAGTACTACCTTAACAATTATTTTTTGTGTGCTCGTCAATTTGGCAAATTGTGTGGTGTTTGCTTACTCAGGGTCTCGCCACCAAGCCCGTACCTAAACGGTGTACGGCTCAAATGGTACGCATTCCTAGGTGTATTCCTAGGATTCCTAGGAATACACCTAGTATGTATGTTCCTTCATATGCCTCATGGGTGTTCTCTTTAACGTTCCTATGTTGGAGCAGCCGTTGTTCATAACTACTGGCAGATTTGAATATGATTTTGTCAAAAGGTTGTACCTCAAGATCCCTAATAAGATCACCATTCCGACAGTACTACTACCAAAGGATTAATCGATGATATCTCTTGATACTTTTTAATTTTAAAAACGTTGAATAGCTTGAATGTTATTTTCGCTGCCACAGCTCCAGAGCTGACTACCACACCTGGAAACCGGTTTCAATATCTGCTTATAGAAGAAGCAATTTGATATGTATATACAATTTGTAGTTAGTTCTATCTAGAAGCCCATACTTCTTTTTATATTTGATCGGTTTTTAATGGTTGCAGCGAAATCTAGCGTCAAGTGTCATTCCCAAATACTTTACGATATTGACATATGGAATCTGAGAGTTATGAGACGTATGTTAATGTGTTAAACATTTTAATCGGTAAAGTTGACATATTTTAACCATTAGTTATGAGGTTATAAAAGAGTCATGCTAAAGATTAGGAATATCACTGATCTACAATGACTAGAGTAATATTCATCATACAATATCTTGAGTTACCCCTGCCTTAATTTTTCTACATCAGAATATGCATCCTTTTGCTTTATTTTGTAGTATCTATCTGACAAAGAGGATTTTAATAGTTTCGAATACGTAAAAAATTTAATTTATGGTTTAGACTTTCATGACAAAGGTTATCAAACGTGTGTTCAACGTCTAGGAAGACAGTGGAACATAACTTCTTTGATGGACTTAAACGGGCGATCCGGTGAATTGTTGGACATGAAAATCCTTATTAACAAATTATTTTTTATACTACATCTCTTTTTTCCTCGCAGAACCAAAATATTCGTCCACAATAGATTGTATCAAACAAACATAACGATATGGCAAAGGACGGTGATTGATACTGGTAATTTCAAGTTTTAACAATGTCAAAACGATAACGTTCTTATTTAAAACTAGTTTTTGTATTATTTAAATTTTAAAATAATTTTATCCCTTGAATTTTTGACTTTTTTTAAGGTTTTGTTTTTGTAAAGTTTAGCAATAACAGGTAACACAGATTGGCCGGTACGATATTACTTTTCTTTGCTTAGGTGTCACTATAACCTATGTTACTTTCCAAAACTTATCTATGCATTTATTCCTGAATGACGCATTTATGGAGTTGCAAATTCGTATTGCTTTATATCGGTAGATGAATCCAAGTCCCCGAATTGGCTATTTATAGCAGCGATTGCCCCATAATTGAAAGCAAATTCCTTGCGGCATAATTAAAGGAAAATTCCTTGCCGCTAAGACAGTTTATGGATACTTGAACTGGATAATTATAGACAAATAACTTAACCGGATGGTGAAACGTTTTCTTCTATATCAAAATAATGCTGTTTCTCTTTCAATTTTTTGTTAACTAATTACAACAGATTTAACAACGCAGTTTTTACTATTGAAAACGAAAAAGTACTAAGCATTTCCAATAAAGTTACTTTAAGCATTGCTCAAAACTAATTTTTTTTTTTTCATTATTTCCAATAGACCTTCACTTTAGCGAAGTTTTCCTATCAAAAATAAACCAATTGACAAATGATTATATACTGTCATTTTCAACGTGATATTAACTGAGCAACGTTTCAGGATTTATTTTGTTGGAAACAAATCAAACTAATTATTTAATTAAAAATTGATTTATATTCGCTCCGTGCGTGACCATGGTAGGGGTACATTGAAACGATGCCAGCGTGCGTAGCGGCGAAATATGACAAAATTGGAATATTGGACAAAATATTTTTACGCATAAGTTTTATCAAAAATGTGTGCAAATACATGTTGCGTATTTAATTCTGCTAATAATAGCAAAAACAGTGAGTGTAGTTTTTATAGGTTCCCAAAGATTACATATAGATTAGGGAAAAGAAAAAGATGAATTCGTGCTATTAATATGAAAAAGTAAATATCACATAATTTCATTTTTATGCAATTGAAATAAGAAAAATTTAAATAATTTACCTTGAATGATACTTCATAAGGCTTCAATCTAACTGCAGATGACTTTTGCTTTTATATCATAACTTTTATTATTATTGTTTTTAATTATATGCTCCTTTGCGTGAAAAACTTGATTTGCCAGTACTAGATTTTTCCCTTTCTTTTCCGTTTGGAGTTGAAAAGATATATTATGATGAATTTTGAGAAACTCAGTTTTTAATACTACATTTATTTTGTACATAAACTGAAAAAATATAGTTTAAAAATCTAATTTATTAATAATTGTCAATTTCGAATGTATTTAACAACGTCAAACATATGTCATATATTTAACCTGAAAATTGGGACTCCAAAATTGTCAGATGAAGGCGGTAGGTGTCGCATCAGTCACCGCATTATAATGCATCGCATTATTCCTGCATATTTAGCTTTAATATTTATATTTTTGTTTTAGCGTCGTCACTTCTGTGTCAGTCGTAATGGACATTGGCAATGGAACCAAAACGATATACTCCGATCCGTTGGGCAAACCGATGGAAAAACCTCTAAGTTCTTCCGATGTGGCCAGTCCAATAAAACTTCTCAATCCTGATAGATACGAGTTTTACACTTTTGACGATAACGGAAATCTAGTTAGACGATTAATGTCATTAGAAGAAATCAAAGGGATTATAGCTACGGGTGACAGTGACGGTTTGGAATACGATTCCGGATTTTCGGAGGCTTATATACCAGAAAAAAGAGTCAATGATGTTCTGAGTAACGTGCAGAATGTTTTAAAAGAAGAAATGGAAATACATAGTACTAAATTAGAAGGTTTTCCTACACTAGACACCCCAGATGTATCAGATTCTTGGAATATGATACTTCCAGCAGTTTTTGGAAACTCTGGAGCTGATATCACTCCTGAAAAACCGCCTTTGCATGTAACGCCAGATACTATCATGATAGAACCTACTGAAAAACATCACAGCACGCCTAGATCTACACCTTTAACTAGTCCTTCGACAGCAGCTTCTAACAAAGTTTCTGGATTTCCTCCTCTTTCAAGTTACTCTACATCTACGACTACTGCTGCTTCTACGTCTACCTCTACAGTTACTTCTACGTCTACTTCTACAGTCGCTTCTACGTCAATATCTCCCGTTACCTCCACTAGTGCACCAACTTCATCTTTCACTTCTCCATCAACTTCTACATTCGCAACTTCTACCACAACTTCTAAATCTACCCTTATTCCAATATCTCCTATCACCTCTACCTTTTCATCTTCTGCTTCTTCAACGTCTACAAATAATATATCTCATTCTATTACTAGTTATACCTCTCATCCTTTTATTTCTGCCATTTCTACATTACCCACTATTTCCATTACTTCAGAAAAACCAACGAAAGAAGCTGAAAGAACGACAGTGCTGACCACTGAATCCAAAGAAGTTGCTACAAACTTAGATACAATTAGTGATTTCAGTACAAAAGAATATATTCCTATTAGTACAATAACAGCTCAAAAACTAGAGAGAACTACTGGTTCATACCAAGATACTCAGAGTACTTATCTTCCTGTAACTGATAAATTTATTAAAATAGATACGGTCACTTCTCCAAAGCCAACACCCAGTGAGATTCAATTTATTAAGATTGAACCACTTACATCTACGACAGAGTTATCTACAACGGAAGAAGAACGGTTCATAACGGAATCAGCTTCAAGTTCGTCCACAAATAAAAATGTGCCAGAAGAAAGCGTAACAAATTTGCAGGAACTAACAATACAGTCTGTTGAATCAACAATAAACTGTACATCAGACAAAAATGAGATAGACACTACAACTACACCACCATTGATCGATGATATTAACGCCATAGATAAAATAGCTGCACCAGAAATTTTGAATCAACTGTTTGCGACGCCATTGGTTCATGATATCAATAGTGAAATTATGAGAGATACAATGAACCAGCTTTTGAACAACGCTCCAACAGAAATTAGCAATGATACATTCGAAACAACTACAGAAAATATTAGTTCTACTGATACAAATGAATCAACCTTGTTTTTAAAGGAAGAAACTACTGTGGGCAGTACTTTAACTACAGTAGGAGAAATATTTACAGTGAAAATTCCTTTACTACCTGCAGAAAAAGATAATGTAAATACAATTGCTAACGATTTTAGTGAAACTGAAGGCACTTCTATAATACCTACTACATTTTCAGTATTAAATAACACATATATGTCAACTCAAACAGAAAAAGTTTTTACCATTCTCCCTCACAATATTTCTACAGAAACCAATATTAAACCTATAATAGAATATTTAAACGGAGCACCTATTAAGAGTACAAAGTTGGAAGCTTCTAATGAAACTATCACTGAAGAAGAAAATTCTAAAGAACTGATAAAAACAACAACTGAAACTGAATTACCTGATTTAAACGGTACTACAATTATCGGTCCAATTACATTAATCGACAGTGCTAATGACCAAAATGATAATAGTATACGAATACCACTAATTGAACCCACGCAGATCACATCGCTGATTCTAAACAGCACAAATACCGATACACCTTCCATTAACATTATTATCAATGAATCTACCAAAGGTACTACTCCACAACTAGTTACTACTACTACTACTTCACGCCCGTCTACCTATACAACTCCCAATGATACCAAAAATATAGTACTTGAAACTGTCAGTGTCGAAACACCTTCTTCCACGACAATAAAAAAACCAGAAAGTACCACTGAGAATAATCCTATAGCTACACAACAAAATATATTACGAACTACAGAACAATCAACAATTAAACCACTGACTGTGACAACTAAACTTCAAACTACAACAGTGCCTGCAACGTCTACAAAAGTACTATTAGGTACTTCAAAAGAACCAGAGATGAATAAAAAAGAAACCAACTGGACCTTGGTACCGACTATTGCGCCTCACAGTGGAAACACTTTTGAAAATCCTTTGTCTTCTGTAGAAACTTATCCAGAGATTTTAGAACCGTCTCAAATTATTGACTTAAAAGCTGAACCCTTCAGTGGTTTTGGTCTGGAAGATAGTACTTCTGCGTTAGAAAGAGATATCTATCAATTCTCTCAGTTGTACAATGAACTGGCGTTTGATTTTTGGAAGACTAGCACTAATACTTTAAGTCATGCTAGAAGTGTTGTTGTGTCACCTTTCGGGGCTATATCTTTGTTGGCGATGATTTTCTTAGGGGCCAGAGGTTCTACATCAGCAGAAATGAATGAAATACTAAAACTAGATGACATGATAACTTTCAATCCTCATTTGGTGCTTAAAAACGTGGGTGAATCAATCGTAGCTGAAGAGAAAGGATCTGGTATTGTAACATCTGCTATTATTCGAGAAATGTTTAGCGATAAAAACAAAGGAAGGATTTTACCATTCTACAAGGAAAGAGTACGAGCGTTTTATGATGGATATGTTGAAGAGGTCAATTTCTCCGAAATTGGGGACATTATAAGAAGAAGGACGAATTTACAAGTGAAGAAGCATTCTTCAGGAAGAATCCCCGAATTCCTGACTGATATGTCCGTTGCCGGGAAACCACCACTATTAGGACTTAGTGTTAATGTTTTTCAGGTTAGTAACAGTAGTAATAAAAAGAGAGATTGCTCATATCGTTTAACAATATGCTACACTCACATTGTCTAGTGTTTTACTATTTAAATAATATGATCTCTTTTATATTTTTAGTTAAAATAATGTTTGACCTAAAATATTTTTTGCAGACAGATTGCAGTATTACTTCGGCCGAAGAACGAGACAGCGAAATGCATTTTACTGTGCTTCCCAGCATAAGGCAAAGAAGACTTGTTCCAATCCCTGCGGCTCTTTATAGATCAGGATTTTTAGCAGGCTACGAAGCAAGTTTGGATGCCACAGCAGTAGCTATCGGAGATAAGACCAAGACTGTTAGTACTATTTTCGTGATGCCTGGTCAACAAGGTATGCCTGCACCTGGAGATGGGCTAGCGAGGTTAGAGAAGAGTCTAGTCGAGAGCTCTGTTAAAAAAGGTAAAGCAGCAAAGTATTATATGGAATGTACTGATATTCAATCTATTTACCTATATTGTAGGAGCCTGGTCGAGACTTTTGCGCTCACTAATACCAAGAGCAGGTCTGGAAGTGCAAATTCCCAAAATAGTCCACAGATCAGTCATCAACACCACTTTTGCGCTGAGCAAGATGGGCTTCACTGAACTTTTCAACAAAGAAAAAGCTGATCTTATGGGCATGAATGGAGTACCTAATGAACTATATATCTCAGATATTATTCAACTTAATCAGTTCACGACGTGTGGTGAACGTAGAACAGACCATCATTCGGAGATCTATCCCAATAGAGCAGGAAGAAACGGAAAGTAAGACAGATAATTTCTTTATTTAGAATCTTTTACTATATAGAGACTTTACAATGGAATTTAGATATATAACTAACAAGGGAAATAAGGCAAAAAATACCATGTTCGGGACAACGACTTAGCCAGGGTTTATGTGTAAAAGTAACCTTTGAACTACAACAGAGCTGTCAGTAAAGCTTCAAAAATGAGTCCTGACGTAATCAGCTAGCGGCCGGTGGAGGGAGAATTGTAAAATCCGTGCATTCAAATAATAAAATCGGTTCTTCAAACACATACTGCTTTTAATACTGGTCAGTACTTAAAAAGAATAAACAAAATCCATCAAAAGTTCCAGAGATTATTATTCGCAGCATGTGTTTGAAGAATCAATTTAATTTTTTGTGTGCACGGATTTTATAGTTCCACCTTCACCTGGACGAGCCGATTTCGTTAAGACTTCATTTTAAAAAGCTTTATTAACCGCTTTGTTAAAGCTCAAAGTTAACTGATACTTTTACCACAGTTTAACCACAAACAGTTAGGACACTCTTAGTCGGCGCCTTTGAAGTATAAAAGTAACCAGACGCCATATTGAAAACAGACCAGATCAGTTACGGACTGGCACAAGTGATTAGAACAGAGACGTGTTTAGGTATATTATTTTAAAGTTAGTAAACAAGTTAATTTAAATTAATTACAATCTACAATATATTAATTTAATTATTATCAAAATGTTTTATTTATTTTATATAAAAATAAAACTTTTCTACTTGTGTGTAAACTAACTTAAATAGACTTACTGTTAACTTCTACAGCAATAATTTAACAAAAGTAAACTTACAAAAAACTTTAACAAGTAAAAATAATATCGGAAAAAATAAGAGGGAGTGAATACGTACATATATATATATATATATATATATATATATATATATATATATATATATATATATATATATATATATATATATTATCTCTTAATTTCTAAAACAATCTTGACAAAAGTTTAGGGTGACACTACGTTCCTTACAACTTGCTCTCTTACAGTCATCACATGATTTCATGTCTGTATGTTTCGGACAAAAATGACGTCTTGTTTGCTTAGCAGGTTTTCGATTTGAAAGTTCCTCAGTTGGGTTTCTTGAACTCTTGTTTTGATGTGTTCCAAGAATTTTTATGATTGTGGTTGTTAAATCATTATTAGTGAGCTGTTTCATATATTTTCTTCTTTTCAGATGTTCATTCAAAAGACTTTAGCCGAGTAATATCTTGAAATGTTTTTGGGACAAAGAACATTGACTATTTGCGCTTTTATAAAGAACATATTCATTTTTTCTTGTTATATGTTAAATAACATAAAAGACAACCAGAGGCCATCTTTGTTATTATAAGTTTTTTACCTGCCTTTTTAAATTGCATTTACTACAGTTTCTAGTAGAATGGTTGTGTTCTTAAGATTTTTTTTAGTAGCAATGGTACTTGCTTCTTTTTAAAGTATTTCATACAGTTCTAGCAGTAATACCAGTTTCTTTTGAAATTAGAACGTGCTGTTACAAGGAAAATTGATTTCAGTTAGACTACTTACGGCAGTTTTAGGCTGTTCCTGTTCTTCATTAATTGCACGAGCTGGTTAATTTTCAAATTTAAAAATAATGTGAATTGCAGATTTTGATGGTACAGGGCTTTCGAATGAAAACGAAAACGTAGCGATTACATCGTTGGCCCTACTTCCAGAATAATATCATTTAATAATTTGAATTTAATGTTCAGTTGTAAAGGTTACCATTTCCCTAACTGGAAATATCAATTCCTTTATCTTTTTGCGAATAAAACCAGAATTATTATGTATTTATTTATTAACGGGATGTTTCCATTTTTTACAAAACAATTAACTACATAAAATATCCTAACCATAACATAAATATTAAAACTAAATATTAAATAATTATTAAATATTGTTAAACAATTATTAAATTACATAAATTAAATTTTTATGAAAATCATTTTAAAATGAAATTAATATCCCCAAGTTTTTATAAAAATGAAATGAAATCATAAGATTGACTAAAGTCATTTCCCGGTATCTGAATTCTGATAGGGGAGTTTGCCATAGTTAGTGTGATAGTGTTTTATACAGAACAAAGGCATTTCTCTAAGAATTCTAGTGCTACATCTAAAGTTGACAGGACCTAATAAATCAGAACAGTCAGTTGCATGGTTAAGTAGTTTATAGAGAAAAACTAGATCATATTTAGTTCTATAATTTTCTAAGGAACTGATATTTAGCCTTGACCTTAGTTCAACCAAAGACATGTCATTTAAGTTTAATCTATAAGCACAAATCCGGAGTAACTTATTTTGAATTTTTTCGAGGGTGTAAATATGGTTAAAATAGTATGGTGACCATTCTATAGAAGCATAAGACAGGATGTCACAAACAAAAGTAAGATATAAAATTCTATATGTGGGTATCGAAATATCTCGAGAATGTGTTGTGATAAAACCAAGATTGATTGTGATTTCATTACTAATGAAAAAATAGACATATATTTGATGTTTCCCTTATCAAAACTAAATATCACTTTAACAAAACTACAATTCAATCTAATGGGTGTTAAAAACAAGCTCTCAGCTAGTAGAACAACCTCATACTGTTCTTTTCGCACTAATTATGTGTGCTATATACAGTTTTCAGATTACCACAACTGTATAGTATTTTTTTGCTACTAACATTTATATATTAGCTCATTATTAATGTAAGCTTAATTTATTCTAAACAAAACAAAAACTTGAAAAACAAACAATTAAAAAAAAACTATTATTAGTAATATTTGGAACATGCACAGGTATTTAACCAGACTTGTAACGTGGAAATTTGTTTAAAATTATAATTGAGTTCTCTACGGGAATATTTACTTCACTATTGTGAACAGTGTCGGCAAAAAATCTTTTATTAGAAGTAAGTAAATCAACAAATCAAAACAACTATATGGCACTGTACTAACACTTATTTTTCATTATTTACCTAGGTAAAAAAGTAATACTGTTTTCCTACAGAGAGAAAATTTACTTCTTGTAGTAATCAAATAAATAATAGTAATTTTTCATGTTAGCAGTAAAAAAAAGTTATTTATTGCTCCAAACAATTAATTTATTTTTTATAGATTTATTTGAAATATTTTTTTGGCATTTGAAATTTTGATTAATAAATTTTAATGTGTAATACAACCTTACTCTAGCATACAAATTTAAAAAATATTTATATGGAAAATTATTACAAGGATGTACGAATATTACACTTTCATACAGAGTAATAAAATTCTTTATGACACCACTTTTGATTATTATGTGTTCAAAATGTTTATAAAATACTGGACAAATATTTTGTCCAGTTGAATTATATATTCTAAAAAAATATTATCCGGCATTTGAAGACTACCAAACATATCGAGGGCATCAGTATCATATGCTTTAAAAAAACAATATAAATTAGAATCATCTAATTCAGTAACAGTTTTCCCAAAATTTGAACAAGTTGAACATGTATGTACCTCCAAACACTTTTTAATATAATATCCACACACATATCTGGCAGTATTTTGTGAAATTATATCTAATTTTTGATAATCTAAATCAGTTTAACCACAAATACTAAATTTTTTATACTATGCAAATATACAAATATCTCTTGCAAACCACAAAACTAATATATAAGTATATAATATACTAAGTTGAAATTTGATAATACAATTTAGTTCTAAAAAGAACTATTTTTAGACTTAATTAAACGAAAAATAAAACTCGACGATAAAAATATAAACAAACAAATCACGACAGATGACTCGACTATACGTCACATTAATACCAGTCGGGTGTCACTAGCGTTAGGTCTGTTTTCAATATGGCGATATGGCCTGCGCCAAATGATGCGCGTACTTTTTCCCGCCCGCCGAGTGTCCATACTATTTCTCTTTATACTATGCTTTTACACATAGTCTATAAACCCTAAACTTTAAAATGGCGCTAGTTAGGTTGCTTATCTCTCTAACGGTCACGTAATAAATTTACACATTACTGGTGACCTGGGTGTGTTGGACCGATAGACATATCGCTTTATATATTCTTATAAACACATATTTTACAAGTAATTATACTTAATAAAGGACTTAGTAGTAAAGATGTAATAGTTTACAAAAATGTTTAAACATAAAACTCAATAACGTTATTGAACAAGTAATTTCTTAATCGTTAATAAAAATAAAACATACATTTCTTACGTAAATACAAACAAAATGGAATTAAATTAAAATTACAAAAGTCCTAGTTTAGTCTTCCCTTAAAGCATTGATTACAAACAGAGGTAACAAACAGAGGTAACGAGATAGAGGAATTTACTACAAATTTTTGCAGCTATATTCTGTCTTCTTATTTGTTTAGAGATACAAATTTGGCAACGCCCAACTTGTAGTAACTCCTCGTGTCTCTGCTGCGTTTCTGTGGGTAGATTAGATTAGATTATGTGAGGTCGTTAAGGCCATGCGGCCTCACCGCACTTCGACCTATACAGATCTTTTGTGCATACCCTAATCTAGTTAAACTCTAGAATGCCCATACTTCTGATGAAGTTGATTAGCTTCCTAGGTGACTTGTTTCCTATGTCAGAGGACGCCAGACTGACCTCTCCTAGGAATTTTAGTCTTTTGCAGAGCAGTGCTAAGCAGTTGCATAGTATATGTTCTGCCGTTTCTTTTTCATTGTGACAGAAACAACAGTTCTCACTATCTGATTTTCCCATCTTCTTGAGATAATATCTCAGAGGGCAGTGACTAGTGAGAAGGCCAGTGACAATTTTGATATCTTTCTTGCTCATTTCGAGAAGGCGGTTTGTTGCAGTAGGCGACACTTTTATGAGCCTTTTTGCGTGCCTTTGTCCTGGTGTGTTAGACCAATATGATCTTAGTTGATTGAGTTCACAGGTACGGAGTTCCTCTCTGATGTGGCTTTTCGATAGTCCACAGAAGGGTTCCGGACCCTGGAATGGGTATTAGCTCCTTCTTTTCCGAGGCTGTCAGCTTCCTCATTTCCTGCAATTCCCTTGTGACCTGGCACCCACATCACAGTTACACTGTTGCGTTCCGCCAGCTTCTTGAGAGATTGTTTACAGTCCCAAACCAACTTTAACTCACATGTAAATGACTTTAGAGCCTTTAAGGCGGCTTGGCTGTCTGATAAAATAAAGACTTTTGCCCTACGGGTTGAGATATTCTTGGGCACTTATGTCTATAGCATGTATTTCTGCCTGGAAGATAGTTGGGGCTTTCTGTGGGTAGCTTCCATATTTGTTCCTTTCTCAGATGGTACGTGGTATGTGTTGATCTGCTTGTCTTCTTATCACATGTTTTTTTACGAGACCTCCGGATAGTTTTGTCAAAAAACTTTTTCTGCGATATGCTCTATCTTCTTTTTGATTAGATTTGTAAATTACAAATGCGTTAATTCCTGTCACATTGAGTAAGGTGTAAAAACTAAAAACATTGTTATTAACATTGTAATGTTAAATCAAAAACTACACAAGAAAGCCCTGAAATTAGTATTTCCACCACCTGAGAAAAACCCAGTACCTTCTGTTCGATTACATATACAGGCAAAATTACAACAAAAATAGCCAAACAAAGGAATAACACCACTTTCCGAACAAATAACAACCTAGGCAAATATATCAAAAACAACAAGAGCCAAAATAAAAAACACTTACACAGTGGTGTGTACAAACTTAAATGTGGCGACTGCCCAAAAACTTACATCGGTCAAACTGGTAGAAACTTTAACAAACGAATAGCAGAACATAAAAGGGCTTTCAATAATAGAAAAACAGATTCTACATACGCACTTCACCTTCTAGATCACAATCATTCTTTTAACGACGAATTTAAAATTCTTCACATTCAAAATAAAGGCCTTAAGCTATCCTTGTTAGAATCTATGGAAATCATCAAATTAAAAAACACAGATATAATTCTGAATGACCAACTTGAGACAAACAGTTCTCCCCTTCTCAACCTATTTCATTAGAGACTATAAAGTGTAAACGCATGCCAAAAATAAATCACTTGAGAAAGGCAATCAGCCGAAACAGCTGTAGTGATAAGAGTTAAAATAAATTTTTGTGGAAGTTTGAAGACAAAGTTTTCAGTGTTTTATTGTTACAAACAAATGATTAAACCAAAATATAAACACTGTCATTTTAAACCTTTGAGTTTCTACTGAAAGATGAATACTAGATCTAAATAAATTTAAAGATCTAAATAATATATCAAATTACCCTACTTTTGCCTGTAGCGATTTAAACGAAAAAACTGCTATTTTGACCCTTATTTGTTAATAGCTACTATATGCTTCCAACGGGAATTTTTGTATTTATAATGTATAAGGTATGTTTATAGTAGCCAAAAAAATCCAATTGCAACATGGTTGGGTCAGTACCCCGACAAAAAATTATTTTTTATTTATTTCCCTATTAAAAAACAAATTTTTATTAGGGGTAGAACAAATTCGTAACCTATATATTCGAGATTTAGAAACAGTATTTGTATAGTAAAATCCTCTTCTGTGTTTTTTAGATTACTACCATTTATGCAGATGAACGATCACTTCGCGAGGGATCTCACGGCTAGCGATTTCCAGGATCCCCTTCACGACCTCAGCTATCTGGACTTGCCACTGCCCCTGAGGCCAAGACAAGCAAGAAAACCAGAGCTTCCGAGGTTGAAATTTGACAGACCTTTTCTCTACTTTGTCAGGCATAATCCCACGGGGTTGATTTTACATATAGGTAGATTTAATCCCAGACTGTTGCCGTGAGAAAGTGGTTTTAGATGTAGGTTTAAAGTATGGTATGTAAACCGTGTGACAGCTGAAGTTTTGGCGAAGTGGCAGATCTAGTAACATTTAACATTTTTGAATATTATTAGATATTTTTAAATAATTCTCAGTATTGTGTCTTTAGTATTACCAAAACTTCAGTTTGTTAGTTTGTAAATGTGTGGATGAGGTATTAAGTTAGTTTTTTTGTTACTAGCTCGTAGTACCGCACAATAACGGTTATTTTTTTGCCATTTTGGCAGCGTAGCAGTTTAAGGTACATATTTGTTTGTCATTAATTACAAAGTATTTTACAAATGATGTATTCCAAAAAGGTTTTCGATCACGATTTAATGTTCACCCATTATTAATTTAATATCATTTCAACATCTCCATTCACATGAATGTATGGTTTTAGGTAGGTATTTAAAAAAGACTCAAGAATAAAGTACAATTGAAACATTTAAAGAAAAACTGTTCTTGTACTTTAAGGGAGAGTCTGTACTGAATGTAAGATTTGTTAAATAATGTATGTTTAATTTATTTTTTGTAAAAATCAAAAGATCTGATTTTTTGAGTTATATGTACAATATAGTGAGTAACTGAAACATTGTATCTATAAAAATAAAAATTATTACTTATGTTTGTTTTATTACTTATGTTGTTCCTTTATTCGAAACACATTTCGAATAAAGGAATGACACTAACGAAGAAAGATAATTCTGTCAACAGGAACACGCCTATATGATATAACTTAGACAACCAGGGCAGATTCCTGTTCTAGCACTCGAACGAGTAAGACGTGTACCAATTACAATTAAAATCCATTTTGCCTTATCAGTAGTAATTAGCGCTTAATTTAGATTCAATAGTGTAATTTCAAAACGTGATTTCTGGACAAGTTTTGTACGAATTGTTTTTTTTTATATTATGAAATCTGCCAATCTGCTGGTTCTTGCTGGCCATCCAATTCAACGGATTTTAATACGATTCATCATCATTTTGGCTTTATAACCCTGTGTTGGTCCTAGCCTCCCCAAGAATTCTCTTCCAGTCGTCCCTATCCATCGCCTTCCTCCGTCAATCACGTATTTCCATATTTCTCATATCTTGGTCTATGTTAAATAGGAATCTTGTTCTGGGTCTTCCTCTTTTTCTTTAACCAATAGGTCTATCAAGGAGCGTTTTTGTAGCTGGATCGGTTTGCTCCATCCGCATTACATGGCCTACCCACCTTAGACGTCCTATTATATTACGATATTTGGTTCCTGGTATATTCTATAGAGTTCGAAGTTGTATCGTCTTCTCCAGACACCATTTTCATTTACCACTCCATAGATTTGCCTTAGTATTTTTCTTTCGAAATATCCTAATATGTTTTCATTGATTTTTGTTAAAGTCCAGGTTTCTGAACCATAAGTATATTAGGACTGGGCGTATTATTGTTTTGTAGAGTTTTACCTTTGTATTTCTTGATATAACTGTAGATTTAAAAAGGATATTAAGCTCAAAATAACATCTATTAGCCGTGCAAATTCTGCGGTAGTGTCATTTTCAGTATTGACGAGCGTTCCCAGGTATACAAATTCGTTAACTGCTTCGATGACGTCGTTTTCTATAACAAGTGGCCGTAGTATTTGTGGTTGCGGACCTATTTTCATGTATTTCGTTTTATTAATGTTTATTATTAAACCCATTTTTGTAGCCGCTTCCTTTACTGCTACATACGCCTCTCGGGCTGCGTTTTCCGTTCACCCAACAATATTGATATCGTCAGCATATGCTAGAATTTGCACAGATTTGTTATATATTGAACCGGTAGTTGTGATTTGTGAAGTACGTATTACTTTTTCCAGAGCTAGATTGAATAGTATACAGGAAAGTGGGTCTCCCTAACGTAGCCAGTTATTTGTATTAAAAGGTTCAGAGAGTTCCCCCTGGATTCGTACTCTGCATTCAACTTTTTCAAGGGTTAGTTTGGTTAGACTTACCAAATAATTTTATACTCCTAGATCTATCATTACTTTAAACAATTCTCTTCTATTTACAGAGTCGTAGGCTGCCTTGTAGTCTATAAATATGTTGTGCGTGTCTACACCGTATTCCAGTGTTTTCTCTAGAATTTGTCTCAGGGTTGAAATCTGATGAATTGTTGATTTACCACCTCTGAAACCAGCCTGGTATTGTCCTATTATTCGCTCTGCATACGGTGCCATACGATGGCATAGTATATTGGAGAATATTTTATACGCTGCATTTAGGAGCGTAATTCCTCGATAGTTAGAGCACTCAAAGATATCTCCCCTTTTATGTATTCCAATATTCCAATCACTGGGAAGGGACATCTGTATCCATATTTCTTTTATAAGCTGCTGTAGCGCTATTATGATATCGTGGCCACCTTCTTTATATAATTCCGCTGGGAGATTATCTGTTCTGGGTGATTTCTTTCTGGCTAGTTTGTTTACAGCGTCTTTAACTTCTAAGATCGTTGGTGGATTCTCCTCCCTCTCGTTTGCTCCGCTCACCTCACAGCTTTCGTCTTCCGAGTTATCTTCTTCTTCCTCTATATTAAGTATCTGATTTTAATACGATTCTGATAGCAAAACCAGTTAAAGGAAAGATATAAAACGAGGTTACTGTCTATGTCTACATGAGTACAAATATAAACAATACTATTACAGTTTCTACCTTAACTATGGCCCTTCAAAGTGTTACAAACAACATTCCAGCAACTACATCTCTTTTATACGTAACCGCTGCAAAATCAACACCGAAACCATCTTTTCCAAAAAAATAACAAGCGATAATTCTCCACGCAGAAGAAAACCTTAAACTTTTAGACTATGTTAAAGCCATTGGTGATATCATTGGACCAAAAAATATTTCCTTTGCATCCAAAATCTTTACCAATCTTTAAACAATAGAATCTAAATATATGTAGCGAACTCAAATCCCGTTGATCAACTTCTGAAATCCCACCCAACTGTTTAAATTGGATCTCTCATTCTAAGTATTCGAAAACTTATCTCCCCAACAAAAAAAATATTAATTTCGAACATCTCTCCGTATATTCCTCATGAACTGGCCGAAAATGCAGTGAAGAGTCTTGGTTTCCAAATAGCCTCTCCCGTGTCCTTCCTTAAAACAGGCATTGAATGCTCTCACATCCTGAGCTTCCGCCGTCAAGTATATATATTTCCCCCCCTCTGATAATTTTGATTCCCCCTTGTTAATTCCTTTTAAAGGCAATGATAATAGAATTTTTCTGTCTACGGACAAGATGTAATGTTTCTTATGCAAACAATCAGGACATGTTGCTTCTAATTGTCCCAATACTTCATCTGACAACTTATCATCTGAAAATCCTACTCTTTCTCATGACCTAAGTCCCCCCCTTAACGATTTAACGTCACAGCAACAGAATACACAATTTTTATACCGTCTCCCTCCCAAACAAATCTATCTGATCCGTCTTTTCCCCAGAAAATTGCGAAAATGATACAATATCTGAAAAGTCCGATAAACTATGTTTAACTTCTCAACTTTCACAGAAGAGACCACGCTCATCTGTATCATCTATAAGCGATAAGAACCTTCAATCTGGGAAAAACCCCGCAACAGAACAAACTATGTTTCCTCCCAAACAAACAGTTCCTAGTTCCTCTAGCCCCTCCAATACACAAAAGAAACAAAAACGTAGTTCTTCTCTCGACCTCAGTCTATCCACTGACTCCAAGCAAGCAATACACGAAGCCTAAAAACAAAACCCAGAAGCTTTTGCAGTCCCTCTTGATTATATAATTGCCTTTATCGAAAACCAAAATAGACACCCGGTCTACGCGTGCTGAATTTGTGTTTTCAACTCCTAAATCCAAAGTAATTTACTTTACCAAGTGACCAAGACTTCGGTTACAAACAACTAATTATTTGACACTTCCTGGTATTACCTTTAATAAAAAGTTTATCTGGAAACAGCATATTGAGAAACTTAAAGGAAAAGAAAAAGGAAACCAAGGAATCAATTTACTTAAATTTCTTGCTAGCTTCTCTTGGAGAGCTGATGAAGAATCTCTCCTTAAAATATCATCATCATCTTGGTGCTAAAGCCCTTAGAGGGCCTCGACCTTCTCAAGCTTTCTACGCCATTCTGTTCTTTCCCTTGCTTGAATTTTCTAGTTGCCGACTCCGATCTTCTCCGCATCTTGTGTTACCCCATCCATCCACCTCAGCTTTGGTCTACCCGTCGTCTCATTCCCACAGGTTGCGCTGTTAGAATCTTTTTTATCATGTTCGATTCAGGGGCCCGGGCTACATGTCCTGCCCACTGCAGGCGGTTTCGCTTAATTATAGTGGTAATATCTTTACCACCAAACGTATGCTTGTAGATATTCTGCAGTTCGAAGTTATATCTACGCCTCCATATTCCGTTCTCACAGACCGCTCCAAATATTATCCTTAAAATATATAGAGTGTTAATTCGCTTAAAGCTAGATTATTAACAGTATTCTTTATATGGCATCTAACACCTCCCTAGTAAAGTCTCTAAACACGATTTAAAATACATCCCTACGACTATGCCTTGGTGCTTTCAAATGAAGCCCCGCTGAAAGTTTTTTGTGTTGAATCTCCAGAGCCACCACTCCATCTAAGAAGAAGTGGCGGCACTCCACTTTCAATTTTCAATACTGATTTATGCAGATTCGACAAAACAAAAACTCCAAACTCAATTCTTAGAAAATCCTTCCAAAACATCCTCAACCTAACACAATTTGATGAAATTTTATACACCGATGCGTCCAAGAATGAAGACTATTGCAGCTCCGCTGTGTCCATACTGACGACAACAATAAGCTCTGTACGATTGCATAAAAGTGGTAGTATCTACACTGCAGAATTATATGGAATACTCTAAGCATTAAAGACTTTAATCCATCCTACTTCAAATGAAAGCATAAAAATTGCCATTTGTACTGATTCTCATTCCTCGATTCATTCCATAAGATGCATTTTTTGGAAAAACCCACTAGTCCAGGAAATCCTCACCATCTGTAACCAACTATATTTTGCTAATATAAAAGTCATAATGATCTGGACTCCATCTTATGTTGGTATATTGGGAAACGAAAAAGCATACCAACCCGCTAAAGCAGTATGTTCTATTCTTTCAACTTAGCCTTCAAAGAGGTTCAAATCTATACGGATCTTAAAATATCGATAAAACAAAAAATCCTCAGCTGATGGGCGGACCTGTGGAGTAAAACAAAAACTAAGCTGCATGACGTTCAACCCAACATATCTCGCATCAATATCTCGTCTATGAACAGGAAAGAAAAATCAGTTATTCATCGACTACGAATAGGACATACACGTCTCACGCATGAATATCTTATGACATCAGAAAACCCTCCAGTATATGCCACTACTGTAATAGCCTCCTTTCCATCAAACACGTGATAGTGGACTGCTGGCAGTATGATTCTTCCAGAAACAAGCACAGCCTAAAAGGAAATCTAAAAGACATTCTAGGTGTTCCAAACAGTTTTGACACAGTTTTGTTCCAAACAGTGTTCTTAAACTTTTAAAAGAAACAAGTTTAATTGAGCTAATTGCATTGAGCACATTGCATAGTGATAAGTT